GCCACGCCAGCCCTGCCCCAGCCCCCTGCAGACAGGAGGATGCTGAGGACTGGCACGGGCTGCCAGCTGTGCCACGGCTCCATGGGGACACCCTGCCCATGAGCATGGAGGGATCTGGGCAACGTCCTGGGCACATGTGCCAGGCTGGTCAGAGGGATCCTGGAGGAACCTGGGCATGGGCAGGACTAAGAGCATCCCTGGAGGGATCTGGGCAAAATCCTGGGCACATGTGCCAGGCTGGCCAGAGGGATCCCGGAGGAACCTGGGCATGGGCGGGGCCAACAGCATCCCTGGAGGGATCTGGGCAACGTCCTGGGCACATGTGCCAGGCTGGTCAGAGGGATCCTGGAGGAACCTGGGCATGGGCAGGACTAAGAGCATCCCTGGAGGGATCTGGGCAAAATCCTGGGCACATGTGCCAGGCTGGCCAGAGGGATCCCGGAGGAACCTGGGCATGGGCGGGGCCAACAGCATCCCTGGAGGGATCTGGGCAACGTCCTGGGCACATGTGCCAGGCTGGTCAGAGGGATCCTGGAGGAACCTGGGCATGGGCAGGACTAAGAGCATCCCTGGAGGGATCTGGGCAAAATCCTGGGCACATGTGCCAGGCTGGCCAGAGGGATCCCGGAGGAACCTGGGCATGGGCGGGGCCAACAGCATCCCTGGAGGGATCTGGGCAACGTCCTGGGCACATGTGCCAGGCTGGTCAGAGGGATCCTGGAGGAACCTGGGCATGGGCAGGACTAAGAGCATCCCTGGAGGGATCTGGGCAAAATCCTGGGCACATGTGCCAGGCTGGCCAGAGGGATCCCGGAGGAACCTGGGCATGGGCGGGGCCAACAGCATCCCTGGAGGGATCTGGGCAACGTCCTGGGCACATGTGCCAGGCTGGTCAGAGGGATCCTGGAGGAACCTGGGCATGGGCAGGACTAAGAGCATCCCTGGAGGGATCTGGGCAAAATCCTGGGCACATGTGCCAGGCTGGCCAGAGGGATCCCGGAGGAACCTGGGCATGGGCGGGGCCAACAGCATCCCTGGAGGGATCTGGGCAACGTCCTGGGCACATGTGCCAGGCTGGTCAGAGGGATCCTGGAGGAACCTGGGCATGGGCAGGACTAAGAGCATCCCTGGAGGGATCTGGGCAAAATCCTGGGCACATGTGCCAGGCTGGCCAGAGGGATCCCGGAGGAACCTGGGCATGGGCGGGGCCAACAGCATCCCTGGAGGGATCTGGGCAACGTCCTGGGCACATGTGCCAGGCTGGTCAGAGGGATCCTGGAGGAACCTGGGCATGGGCAGGACTAAGAGCATCCCTGGAGGGATCTGGGCAAAATCCTGGGCACATGTGCCAGGCTGGCCAGAGGGATCCCGGAGGAACCTGGGCATGGGCGGGGCCAACAGCATCCCTGGAGGGATCTGGGCAACGTCCTGGGCACATGTGCCAGGCTGGTCAGAGGGATCCTGGAGGAACCTGGGCATGGGCAGGACTAAGAGCATCCCTGGAGGGATCTGGGCAAAATCCTGGGCACATGTGCCAGGCTGGCCAGAGGGATCCCGGAGGAACCTGGGCATGGGCGGGGCCAACAGCATCCCTGGAGGGATCTGGGCAACGTCCTGGGCACATGTGCCAGGCTGGTCAGAGGGATCCTGGAGGAACCTGGGCATGGGCAGGACTAAGAGCATCCCTGGAGGGATCTGGGCAAAATCCTGGGCACATGTGCCAGGCTGGCCAGAGGGATCCCGGAGGAACCTGGGCATGGGCGGGGCCAACAGCATCCCTGGAGGGATCTGGGCAACGTCCTGGGCACATGTGCCAGGCTGGTCAGAGGGATCCTGGAGGAACCTGGGCATGGGCAGGACTAAGAGCATCCCTGGAGGGATCTGGGCAAAATCCTGGGCACATGTGCCAGGCTGGCCAGAGGGATCCCGGAGGAACCTGGGCATGGGCGGGGCCAACAGCATCCCTGGAGGGATCTGGGCAACGTCCTGGGCACATGTGCCAGGCTGGTCAGAGGGATCCTGGAGGAACCTGGGCATGGGCAGGACTAAGAGCATCCCTGGAGGGATCTGGGCAAAATCCTGGGCACATGTGCCAGGCTGGCCAGAGGGATCCCGGAGGAACCTGGGCATGGGCGGGGCCAACAGCATCCCTGGAGGGATCTGGGCAACGTCCTGGGCACATGTGCCAGGCTGGTCAGAGGGATCCTGGAGGAACCTGGGCATGGGCAGGACTAAGAGCATCCCTGGAGGGATCTGGGCAAAATCCTGGGCACATGTGCCAGGCTGGCCAGAGGGATCCCGGAGGAACCTGGGCATGGGCGGGGCCAACAGCATCCCTGGAGGGATCTGGGCAACGTCCTGGGCACATGTGCCAGGCTGGTCAGAGGGATCCTGGAGGAACCTGGGCATGGGCAGGACTAAGAGCATCCCTGGAGGGATCTGGGCAAAATCCTGGGCACATGTGCCAGGCTGGCCAGAGGGATCCCGGAGGAACCTGGGCATGGGCGGGGCCAACAGCATCCCTGGAGGGATCTGGGCAACGTCCTGGGCACATGTGCCAGGCTGGTCAGAGGGATCCTGGAGGAACCTGGGCATGGGCAGGACTAAGAGCATCCCTGGAGGGATCTGGGCAAAATCCTGGGCACATGTGCCAGGCTGGCCAGAGGGATCCCGGAGGAACCTGGGCATGGGCGGGGCCAACAGCATCCCTGGAGGGATCTGGGCAACGTCCTGGGCACATGTGCCAGGCTGGTCAGAGGGATCCTGGAGGAACCTGGGCATGGGCAGGACTAAGAGCATCCCTGGAGGGATCTGGGCAAAATCCTGGGCACATGTGCCAGGCTGGCCAGAGGGATCCCGGAGGAACCTGGGCATGGGCGGGGCCAACAGCATCCCTGGAGGGATCTGGGCAACGTCCTGGGCACATGTGCCAGGCTGGTCAGAGGGATCCTGGAGGAACCTGGGCATGGGCAGGACTAAGAGCATCCCTGGAGGGATCTGGGCAAAATCCTGGGCACATGTGCCAGGCTGGCCAGAGGGATCCCGGAGGAACCTGGGCATGGGCGGGGCCAACAGCATCCCTGGAGGGATCTGGGCAACGTCCTGGGCACATGTGCCAGGCTGGTCAGAGGGATCCTGGAGGAACCTGGGCATGGGCAGGACTAAGAGCATCCCTGGAGGGATCTGGGCAAAATCCTGGGCACATGTGCCAGGCTGGCCAGAGGGATCCCGGAGGAACCTGGGCATGGGCGGGGCCAACAGCATCCCTGGAGGGATCTGGGCAACGTCCTGGGCACATGTGCCAGGCTGGTCAGAGGGATCCTGGAGGAACCTGGGCATGGGCAGGACTAAGAGCATCCCTGGAGGGATCTGGGCAAAATCCTGGGCACATGTGCCAGGCTGGCCAGAGGGATCCCGGAGGAACCTGGGCATGGGCGGGGCCAACAGCATCCCTGGAGGGATCTGGGCAACGTCCTGGGCACATGTGCCAGGCTGGTCAGAGGGATCCTGGAGGAACCTGGGCATGGGCAGGACTAAGAGCATCCCTGGAGGGATCTGGGCAAAATCCTGGGCACATGTGCCAGGCTGGCCAGAGGGATCCCGGAGGAACCTGGGCATGGGCGGGGCCAACAGCATCCCTGGAGGGATCTGGGCAACGTCCTGGGCACATGTGCCAGGCTGGTCAGAGGGATCCTGGAGGAACCTGGGCATGGGCAGGACTAAGAGCATCCCTGGAGGGATCTGGGCAAAATCCTGGGCACATGTGCCAGGCTGGCCAGAGGGATCCCGGAGGAACCTGGGCATGGGCGGGGCCAACAGCATCCCTGGAGGGATCTGGGCAACGTGCTGGGCATGTGGTGCCAGGCTGGCCAGAGGGATCCTGGAGGAACCTGGGCATGATCCCTGGCCGTGTGTGCCAGGCTGGCCCTGGGGACCGTGAGGGACCTCAGAGCATCCCCAGCGGGACCTGGGCAGTGTCCCTGAGCACACGTGCCAGGCTGGTCCAAGGGATGCGGGAGACACCTGAGCATAATCCCTAGGCACAAGTGCCACGCCGGCCAGGAGAGCCCCTGGAAAGACCCAGCAGTGTCCCCAGGCACGCGTGCCAGGCCACCCCCAAGGGTCCC